GCTGTGATGGAGAGACTGTTTACATTGTAACATAGGGCCTGAATCATGAAAAACCTGGCAGAGAAACCCTATATCTCTTGGAGACTTCTGACGACTTCTTACAAGACCTCTTTAGCAGCTTACCTGTGGATACCCAAGTAGGGTGGATTTCTGGCCTACCTGTGGACATGAGATGGCGAGGTGGGTTAACCCTGGCAGGCAGCTAAGCACCACACAGCTGCTTTCTCTCCCCTCTCCCCACCCCATGGGATGGGGGAGAGAATCAGAAGAGCAAAATTGAGAAAACTCATGCATCAGGATAAAGACAGTTTAATAAGCGAAGGGGAAAAAAAGAAAAGACACCCTAATGATGCAGAGGTAATAACTCATCACCAGCAGACTGATGACCAGCCAGCCCCCAAGCAACAGCAACCTCAGAAAAAATCCCTTCAAGTTTTATTGTTGAGCATACTGTTACATGACATGAAAGATCCCTGCGGTCAGTTCAGGTCAGTTGTCCCAGCTGTGTTCCCTCCCAGCATCTTGGCCACCCCCAGCCTACTCACCTGGGGGCAAAGTTAGAAACACAGAAGGCCTTGATGCTGTGCAAGCACTGTTCAGCAATAGCTAAAATGTTGGTGTGTTATCAACACTCTTGGTCATCAGACTAAACCACAGCACTATATGGGCTGCTATGAAGAAAATTAACTCCACCCTTGACAGTGCCCAGTGGTTGTAATGCCTGGTTCTGATGGAGGTTTTCTCCTTCAGATGGAGGTTTTACCTCCCATGGGAGCTACAGCTTACAGGTGAATTTTGGGGAGAGTTTAATCATATGGTTGCCGTTGAGCAATCCCTGAGTGCTTGGAAAAGAAAAGCTCAGCGCTGAAAGTTCCTAGAGCTGCTCTGAACACTCTCTCTGGTAAGACTGATAGGAAGGGAAACAGACAAATTGTTACTTTCTCTCAAGTAAAGTCTACCTGGTTTTGTCATCCCCCTCACTATTTAAAACCCTGCAAGTTGTGTGTATGCCAGACTTAGCCTCTCAAAGGGAGTATGGGCACTCTGATGTCCACCAGGCTTCTGCTTCTGGTTTGGGGTACTTATTGTTCAGCCAAGCACTTTGACACAGCATGTGCATTGAAACAAAGATAGAAAAAATCAGAGAGATAAATATAGAAAACTTCTGTGATGCAAAGTAGTGTGAGACGACTGTAGAAGGACTGCTTAGAGTAGAAAATCATAGTCCAGAATACAGGTATGTTCACTTACAGCTTTTCTTTTTTCACACTGACTCCTCATGAAATATATTTGATCTGCTTCTCTGATTTCTATAGACTCACCAGCTGATGTGAAAGAATTATATTACAAGGATATTGGTATGTTTTGTTTAGCTAAGAAAAATCAATACTGAAGTAAGCACACAGGTAGGTCCTTCCCACGCCTGTTCTCCACCTTGCCTGGGTCAGGTCTCTGCCCACGCACCCTGGTGGCTGGCTGGCATTTCACTTCGTTGTTCAGCATCAGACTGAGTAGTAGCAGGGCATCACCAGTTATCTTAATCGCTTACGTTTCAGTTTCCATGTATGGAAACTGAACAGGGGTATCTACAAGGTATGATGATGCAGTGTAACCTGCAGAGGAAAGGAAAGCAAAGGTGCTGGGAGAGATAAAAAGGCCATGGGTGGGTGTACTCATCGGTCAGAGTTGTAAACTCATATGCTGCTAAGGATGTGCCAGCAGCAGAACACTTACTTGAACTAACACAAAATTTACTGTTACAGATTAAATCGGGGAGGTGGCTCGGAAATGGAGATTGAGAGCTAAGCCTCTGTGGCATAAGCCCCTAGCTTTAAGTCACATTTAAGCTTTGCCTTCCCCCTTGCTTCCAGACTTCCACCTCGTGATTCTCACCTCTTTTCAATAGATCATTCAGCCAGAGAATAGAAAGCTCAGTACCTGTAAAATCCTCAGCGATTTACAAATTGGGATCTTGGCTGATTCAAACGTTGTCCCTTTTTGTCTTTTATGGTGTCTGATCTCACTTTCCTTCTGTGCTCCTCTTTGCTCTCTCTCACCTGCCTGTCTTTCCTAATTTCTTCCATATGTTTCCATTTCTATGACTTCTACCTCAATCCAAATTTGTGGTTTATGCTGAACAAAATTGTTCAGTGTGACGCTGGAGTTGGTGTTACCGGATGTACATCTTGAGTTTCAAATGTCAGATAAGCCAAAAGACATTTGAGAAGAATTGCAAGCTCTCGAGACACAGCTGGCTCAGTGAGATAAATTAGGGGAGTGGTACATCAGAGACACCACTACTGTAATACCGTCATGCTGCAGGACTGTTATGCTGAAATCTTGTTTCCTGGGAGACATCTGTAGGGAGCTAGCTCCCTGTTGCTCTGTCCACCTCTCTATCACCCGCTGTATATCCTGGAGTCCCTCTGCAAAGTGTTCTGAAAAAACTGTGAAGTGTCTAGATGATTACCCCTGGTGAATCTGGTCATATGTATACAGCATGGCTCTACTACCACCAAAGGGAATATTGTCATGAAGGTCTAAGGAACCTGGTGGCTAAAGGAGTCTTGAGTGAGTGTATGTCCACCATTCTGTATGCCCTTTGCTGTGTATGTTCCTCCAAAATGCATTTATGTTCAGGAGGTATTCATATGAGGGTGGTGGTTATTTTAAAAAAATATCCATTTCCTGGAGTGGGTGAGATATATTCAGATGTTACCACTAGCTCAGCATTACAAACCACCTTCACATTTATCTCTAACATTATCTTAAGCACCTTCTGTAAGGAGAGAAAACTGACAGCATCAGAAATAGAAAAAAATATTTTGGTCATAGCTGTTTGAGTAATATGAGGACCCACCCATATATATGACCTTTCCTACGGATATGTAGCAACTTAAAGGCATACTGATTACTGCTGTTTGCTCATAAAGGCCAAGAAAGAGTTTTCCCACCCAGATAAATGACCCTTATGGAGGCTATCATCATCCTCTGAAGTGCTGAGGTTTGGTCCCTGTAGACAGGATGTGCAAGTTCTTCTAGAAGCATGAAAATTCACTTGTGTGGTAACCTTGCCTTCCTGATTTTGTTAGGGTTAAACCGATGGCCGGGTTTGGAGGGGATTCCTCTCCTCACATTAGGCTGGCAGGAACAACAGAATGACATTTCCTTTTTTTTTTCTTTTGATTTTCCACCATCTCATAGAGCTCATCCAGCTTCCTGGAGACACCTGGAAATGTTGCGTTGCAAATTCCCTGCTTTCTGCTTGGACTAATTTTTTCTCTCTTTGCTGTCTGTGGCACATTGCTGGTTTTACACTGGGAACTACTGCTACTGAGCACTGCTGATAATCAAGCCATTTCTTCCAGATTAGACTGAGCATCTCAAAGCCTGATTTACAACTGCAAGTTTGTAAATATCTACTGCAGAGAGAAGGAAACAAAGAGAGTATCATAGAATCATAAAATGTTTTGGGTTGGAAGGGACCCCTAGAGGTCATCTAGTCCAACCCCCCTACAGTGAGCAGGGACACCACTAACTAGATCAGGTTGCTCAGAGCCCTGTCCAACCTGGCCTTGAATGTTTCCAGGGATGGGGCTTCCATTACCTCTCTGGGCAACCTGTTCCAGTGTTTCACTACCCTCATTGTAAAGAATTTCTTCCTTATATCTAGTCTAAACCTACCCTGTTTTAGTTTTAAACCATTACCCCTTGTCCTGACACAGCTCACCCTACTAAAAACATTGTCCCCATCTTTCCTATAGGCCCCTTTTAGGTACTGAAAGGCCATAACCAGGTCTCCCTGCAGCCGCCTTTTCTCCAGGCTGAACAACCCCAACTCTCTCAGCTTGTCCTCATAGGAGAGGTGCTCCAGCCCTCAGATCATTTTTGTAGCCCTCCTCTGGACCCGCTCCAACAGTTCCATGTCCTTCTTGTGCTGAGGGCTCCAGAGCTGGAGTCCCACTCGGCAGGGCTGCTCTCGATCCTTTCTTCCCCCAGCCTGTATTGATACTGGGGGTTACCCCGACCCAGGTGCATGACCTTGCACTTGGCCTTGTTGAACCTCATGAGGTTCACACAGGCCCACCTCTCCAGCCTGTCCAGGTCTCTCTGGATGACATCCTGTCCTTCTGGTGTATCAACCGCACCACTCAGTTTGGTGTCATCCGCAAACTTGCTGAGGGTGCACTTGATCTCGCTGTCTAAGTCATTGATGAATATATTAAACCGCAACGGTCCCAGTACGGACCCCTGAGGGACACCACTCGTCACCGGTCTCCATCCGGACATCGAACCATTGACCACTACCTGCTGGATGCGCCCATCCAGCCAGTTCCTTATAGACCGTAGTACTGTAGTATCGATGCGTTTCTGACTTCAGTGAGTATCATGTCCATGAATTCAAAAACGCATTAGGCAAACACTTTTTTATTTGTTTCAAAAAGTGTCTGAGTTGATCCCATTCACTCTTCCTAAGGTATGAACTACTACAACCAGTAGGGAACAATTCTGTGCTGTGAAGTGAGTTGGTGACCTTGCAGCAGAAGAGGCCCTGATGACAGATGCTGTACTGGCACTGTGCTGCCCAATAACCTGCCAGGACTAGCGCCCTACTTCACAGAGGGCCCTGCCAGTGCCTGAATCCCTCCTCCCTCTGTACACCACTGTTCATGTTCACTTTTGTTTGTTCTTGTCCTTGCAGGAAAATGAATTTTTTTTTTTTTTTTTACAATAGAATATTGAGGGCTGGCTTCAGAGAATACAAATAAATCACTCCCCTAGCTTTACAATCCCAAATCAGACTTGGCATTGAGGAAGGCAATGGCTTTGTCATCAGGGAGTGCACATTACTGGATGATGGCTCACCAGGGATCCGTTTCTGCAGTTTGCATCAGGCCACAAAATAGTTGTGTCACAAAACACACTGGTGTGGTGTGGTAGAGACTGACTCAGCACAGTCACCTCTAGCTAAGTGATATGAAGAATTCTTTTGTAATCCCTTTGCTCTGCAAGCCTGTTTTGGGTGTGTCAGTCAGAGGGAAGCTTCTCACTAGCAACTAGCACTGTTTCACTAATTTTTCAGATTAAATGGGAAATATTTTTTGCTGCATCTTGTGTGAGTTACGGAACAGATCACAGGAAGATGATGCCCGGTTCAAATGCTGAACAGATTTCTCAGGGCACTGGGAAAAGCCTATTCTTTGTACAGCAGGGAACTGATCTGTTGTGACCAATAGCTTCTGCAGATACTCACCAGCTGGCTCAGGTCTTGCTTTCAGGATGCCCAGGTGACTACAGAGCTCTTCTCTGTTGTGACGTTTCATAAATATCTGAGTGTTCCCCCACAACAAGCTGTCCACTGCCATAGCTCTCCTGGATGCTGAGTAACTTGCTTAGAGTTAGCCTGAGATTGTCCAGTCGCTGACCACAGCTGTAGGTATCTCATCACACACACTGAGGGTCTTCCTTGCTTATGTGAGGACCCAGGTTCAAGGGTGTATGAGCGATCCTTGGAACACCACAGAATGGTCCCATGAAGGGAAGTGGCAGTAACCATCACTGCCTGCTGGAGTTCCATAAATTCACAAACTTTTGCAGGTGACTTCTTCTGTTTCCCTCTCTCCACTGGGTTCTGCTCAACTTTCTGATGATATCTGGGTGCCAGAAAAGTTTTCTGCCATGCCACAGCTATGTGACTTGATGCCATTTGTGTAGATGCTCTTTCTCTCTTGGTGCACTGGGGTCACTAGAGAAGAGCTGTTTTTCTATTCTGGGGCTAGTGGTAATAAATTCTGTTTTGCATTGCAAAAAAATGGCTCACCTGTTAATTCCTGCTTCTGACAGGCAGCCTTGTTTACACCCCCAGATTGGACTCACCCTCTTTTGCAGTCTTTTGCTGCCAGGAACTTGCTTTCAGTTTCACGAAGTGGGGCAGTTTATTTGCATAAGAGCAAGTCACCCTGAGGAAATACTCAGCTGAGTAACGTTACTAATGTCCACGTCTTTGGGAATAGAAAGTGAAACAAATGTAAGCATAATAAAAGGACATCCATGACCCAAGAGTCAAGAGACAAATCCAGAAATATCCATGGCTGCTGTCACTGATAGAGGTAAGTGCATGTTTGTGAAAAGCAGGTCTATTTCTCCATATTCAGTGTAGATATTTACCGTAGTTGTATCTCAGAACTGGTGAGTACAGACAAATGTGTGTGTTGGCACATGAAGATACACAGGAAACACTTGTGGATTTGTGTGTGTTATCTCTTTGAATGCATTACCGTACCTTGAGTCTTAGGTCCAGCTTCAAAATATTAATATAGTTTTGTTAACCCTGATGTGGCGTTAGGCAGGAAGAATTCAAATACCAAAAGACCTCTTAATGTGGAAAGAGATCTCAAAGGCAATTAAGAATGGAGCAAATTAGCTGACATATTTTCATCTATTTTGTTTTCAATGCAGTAAATGACTAGAAAATGCCTCTTAAAGAATCAGTACAATAAGGCTATGCAAGGAGCTGATCAGGACTCAGTTGATGTGGAAGACTATTTTATTCCTGC